GATCAGCCTGCGCACCTCGGTTGGTGAGATGAATATGGATGTTATATGGCGGAGTGCCTGGGCTTCCGCGAACAGTTCTTCGTTTCGCCCGGCTTCTCCATAGTTGAGAGCTTGTGGGTGATGCCCCAGGTTTAGTCCGAGTGTTCTGCGAAATCGCGCATAGGTCGTGCAACTGTCCAGATACAGACAATGTGAGTAAAGATACTGTGTTGCTATAAGATAAGTGTTGCGCGACACCAGAGTGAGTGCGCGCAACGTCTTGGTGATGATGTTTGACGGTGCATACGCTACAGGATGCTGGCCGTTGTGGGTACCCACAAGTTGATCGAGAACGTTGAGGAACAGCTCTAATGGCAAGCTCGCGAACCCTCGCGATGTGTTCTTCGGGAAGTCAGCCTGTTCCATTAGTTCGCTAGCGATATTGAGTAGTTATGTGCAAGCTGGAGATGGCGAGAATAGATTTTGGCGACATTGTTGAGCCTCCTTACGTCATCACCTTCCCCGCTCGCGGCCCGCACGCTAATCTTCATAAAGTCTAGCCTGGGAGCTAATCCTGGAATGTACGAGCGACTTACGAGCTACGGCGGCGGCCGTGGCGTCCGTAGGCCCCGTGATCAATCTCTAGAGTAACACCGTTACCCAGCGCAGTTCGGCCGACTCGAAACGAGGCTCGTTCTAGGGTGCACAAGGCCTCATTCGGGGCAACAACACATCCGACCCATTCGTAGGTGGAGGCGGAGAATCAAATACACCGCTCCGCCCACTCCTATGCAATACCCCCTCATCAATCGGCTTCGACTGACCAATTGCGTGTATTTGTACTCGTATGCCCTCCAAGCCTCCTGACTGGTCGCGTCTGATGGTGTGTCCCCAAATGCGTTCAGACCCACTGCTCGGTCGCTATCATCCATGCTTTTGACCGGCAGCTTTGAGCGAATGCATCAAGTCTCTCATGGTGCGGATGCGAGCGTCTGCCAGTTGTGCTACTTCCAAGGCGGCCCACGAAGTACCCTCCAGGATGCGCGTCACCATTGAATCTAACAACCACCGCGAAAAATGAAGGGCCGTTCACGGCTTTAGCCTCCACATTCCGCAAGTGCTGGCAATATGTAAAGGGCCCACGCAGCTAGAGATTTGAGAGAACATATTGCAAGTTGGATCACAAAACCAGTTCTCTACTCGACCAAGATCAATACCGGCGGGAACTGCGAGCTCACTCGAACTTCATCAACATGCCACTTCAGCGGGGCGTTTTAGCCGCTCTCTTGGTGGTACTGGCCTACATCATCAAGGTAAAAGAGTCATAACAAGCTGCTTTACGTCAAGCTAACAATGCAAAGATTGTGTGGAAAGGACTTACAGGTCCACTGTCAAAGCTGCCAGGGCCATGGTACACCAAGTATACCAATCTCGTCCTTCGTTACCAGACGGTTTCAGGCAAACGAATTTTCTACGTGGACAATCTTCACCAGCGCTATGGCGGCGTCGTACGAATATCGCCAAACGAGACAGCCGTATCAGATATAGCCGGTGTCAGTCAGATACACAAGATCGGTGCGGGATACCTGAAGTCGGACTTCTACTCGTCTCTCCTTCCAACTGACACACCCGGTATATTCCCGATGCGCGATCCACATGCCCACGCCGCAAGAAGAAGGCTGTTTGCCCGACCCTTCAGCAACACCAGCTTGAGCAGCAACTGGGACGTAGAGATCAGGACGAAAGCAAACCTAGCTGTCCAGAGAATTCGACACGACGCAATGGGTTCATCGCAAGGAGCCGATGTCCTCAAATGGTGGACGCTCATGGCGAATGATGTAATCGCTCACCTCAGCTTTGGAGAGAGCTCCGAAATGCTTGAGATGGGTAAGGTATGCAACTCAGCCTTCTTCAGTCTTGCTATGCATGCATTTTCTAATAACAGGGGTAGCAAACACCATACATCGATGCTATTCAGGCTGCGCTCATTTGCGGTATCATTCGGTCTGAGATTGGAACTACCATCTGGAAACTTCTCAGTTGCCTCCCCATCGAGCGGATAAAGTTTCTTTACTCGATCGATGATGTCCTGAACGAACACGGCGAGCGGGCGATACAGAAGATGCGCAGTGAGGGTGGCAATACCAAGAATCTCTTCAATCAAATGATGGCTGCTGGGGAAGACAGTAAGACTGCCGCGCTTTCGAATAAACACATAAGGGAGGAGGCGGCCGGCTTTATTGTGGCCGGATCGGACACTACCGCGGTGACGCTCACGTATCTCGTCTGGGCGGTTCTCAAGCAGCCTGATCTGCAGTCTCGACTCGAGAACGAGATTGCAGAACTCAGCGAGGAGCTTACAAAGGAAGAGCTCGAGAACGCGCCTCTATTGAACAGCGTCATCGCAGAGACGTTGAGGCTTTACGGCGCTGCTCCTGGCGCCTTACCTCGGGTTGTACCGAAACAGGGCACTGTCATAGGCGGCCATCACATCCCCGCCGATACTGTGGTCAGCACCCAGGCTTACACAAACCATCGCGATCCTTCCGCCTTTCCCAATCCCCACAATTTCGACGGTCTTCGCTTTTTGGACAAGAGCACGATGTCAGCACATCAGAAGGCGTCATACATGCCCTTTGGAGCTGGCTCGAGGGTGTGTATCGGCATACATCTGGCGTATATGGAGCTCCGATTAGGAGCTGCCCTCTTCTTCCGACATTGTCGGGGCGCCAGAATCTCCGACTCCATGAACGATGAGATGATGGAGATGGACAACAACTTCTTGATTGCTCCCAAGGGCCATCACTGCTACATCACCCTGAGATGAGAAATCTCAACTTCAGCAATCGGTACGTGTTTCTGGTAGTTGCGAAGTTGCTCGAATTTATCCATTAGCCTTTGCATTGAATGTTGCACGCGTGTAGGTAGGAAGTAAGATAATTATACGGTTCTTTGCTTCGCGAAGGGAATTATATGCACAATGAAGTGAACTTCCCTTAATTCCACTCTGCTTCAAGATCACCAATCTTATCCTCCGGATACAAGCCATTCCATTCTTCTGCCAGCTGAAGCGCCAGATGCCGACGATCGCCCAGCAACCCACTGTTGACGACCCTAAACAGCTTTCTCGCGATGGCACTCTCGCGCGAAAGACCAAATATGATGAACTCTTCTGACGATGCGCTCCTAAAAGCCTGCTTCAACGTCCTGAATTTTCCTTCAGGCGGCTCGTACGTTGCCAAGTCTTCGTCTCTCTCGTCCATCGAATGACCTACCCACGCCCAGAACGGGGGTCGAAGGGCCACAAACTTGGGTGCGAAGCAAGCCATATCCCAGTCTACGATACCTGTAATCTCCACAGTCTCTGGGCCTGTGATCCTAGCGAGTATATTGCGGGGAAACAAGTCGCCATGCGTAAGATGAAAGCGCTGCCCTAGCCATCCGCGCCGATCCAGAGCTTTCGCAACGGCGATCGTGATTCGCCACAAGTTCTTGTTTCGATTCGCACGACCAATCCCTTCTTCGTACTTTTGCCAGCGCTGACAATGATCAATCAGATACCCAAAAGGTGTTTGAGATGGCGCTGGACGCTGGCTGGGCTGAGCGAAGTGTGGTCGTAACTTCGCTTCTCTGTCCGTCGGAACGGGGAATTGATCCAGTGCTATAGCTGAGCTTCCTGGGGTCAAGTTACTTAGGGATATGAACCCAGCGGCGGGCGTGGTGATGGCTGCTATCTTCTCCACTGTTCGCGTAAACTGCTGGACAGCCGACGCTTTCTGTTCCGGATTTAGCTCTAGCCACAATACATGTAAGTTCTTACCGGGCAGTAAGGTCTGCAAAGTATATGGCCGTCCCAAGGCATTTCGCGAACCGAGATCGTACTTCTCGATCCTGGGTATGGGTAGCGCTAGGTGGGAGCAAACAACGCGTTGTGTAGCAATGTCGCCAGCAACGTCGCTTAGAGGAGGACCATCCATGTCTCCATTCTTGTCCCTTGGAATTCTCAAAGCAAACCTACGTTTTCGGGGGGGTATACCAAGAAACCTCGATACTCTAGCGCCAAAGCCGACCCCGGAGTCACGCCGTTGCGCCTCGTGTTGTAATGTGACAGCTACGACAATGTTGAAAGAGCCCATTCCAAGCACGCGGAGTGAAGAATCTTCGATCTGGCTCTCAGGGAACAGATCGGCAACGAGTTGCAGAATTCGGAACTTCAGTCTCAAGACTGTTTCTCTCCCTTCCTGAAAGCCCACGCCACCCTCAGTGAAGATGTTTTCGTCATCGAACAAGCGCCGTAAGGGGTTCTCGCCCTCATATCCAGAAGTTGTCAGCTCATCGTTGCTCGGGACGCGATCTGAGAGGTATTCTCTAGCCGCTTCAATGCAGGCAATGTCAACTTTGCTAAGTCCATGAAATGGAATATTGAGATGTGCCATCAAGTGCGGCCTTGATGGTTATATGAACTCCACTTTCCTTATTCCCGTTACTGACGAGCCCAGAAATGGAAATTACGCGGATAGTTTTGTCGATATTGAACTGATTTGTGCATTGTGAAAAGAGTTACAGCGATCGCTCAAATACGACGGTCGTTGTAGACGCACAGCGTCTATTCAATAGTGTGATCAAAGTGAAACAGGTTTGCGCTGTGTAAGCGATACATCTTCTGAGAGGATAGCCAACACAATGAACACTAAGAGGTCTAACAAAACATGCCGTTGATGGCTTTTGTCCGGCATTACAATCACTCATGGATTCAAGCTAATAATCACTTCGAGGTCGTTGACGTAGATAACGTAGCTTCGAATCCTCAAGAGATATGTCTTTATGGTAATTCAGTCGTATAGCTAGCTATGAGTGGACATTCGTATCTAGAGAGCTTAGCGAACCAATGAAGTACATTTAATTCAACGCACCGATCGTTTCACACGTCATGCAAGAGAGAACGCAAAAGTTTCAATACGAGGATGGGATTAAGTGATTCAGTATTGGCATTTCCTTCACATATCGAAAACATGTAACTGCTACTCCGTGACAATGGGCTCGTCTTCTTCTGCATCCGTTATGGACTCAATGTCTTTGCCAGGCTCATCGTCCTTTGCAGTCTCATCGTCCTTTGTAGTCTTATCGTCCTTTGTAGGCTCATCATCTGAGTCAGACTCAGCCTCAGAGTCGGACTGCCAGTCAAGACGGAACCGAACATTGTCCTCGGGGTGGAGCTTATCCCACGCTTTTACAACCAATTTTGCCTCATCATAGTCCCAGCTACCAGACATTCCCTTCTGCAAAAAATAGAACATACGTCTAGCGAGCATTGCCTCTGGTGCAAAGGCAAAGAACTTGTACTTGTCGGACGCATTGTCAAGGAACACTTGCTTCAGTATCCTGTCCTCATCAGTAGCGAGCTCTACGTTCGCCACGCTTTCGTCGTCTTCTTTGTCGCTAGACATGTCCGCAGGCGTCCAGAGGTAAAACGGGGCTCTATAGGCCATGAATTCCGGAGCAATGATGGCTGTATCCCAGTCGATAACGCCTGTGATCACCGCCTGGGTGTCACTACGTACTTCCGCGAGGATGTTGTAGATCTTGAGATCACCATGAACGAGTACGCATGGCCCGTCGAGAAAGCCACGATCGTCTAGAGCTCTAGTGATGTTTGCGAAGCTTTTCCAGATGTCATCGAAAGAAGCGCCCTCGGAATTCTCGTAGTCGCTCCACGCCTTGCATCGCCCAAGCATGTAAACGAAAGGGTCGTCAATCAAAGCCGTCTCGGGCTTCTTGTTCTCACGACTAGTTATATGAAACGTCTGGGTATGGACTGGAGAATTCGGAGGGTTGTACAGGTTCTGAGAAGATATGTCGCCGACTGATCCTTCCACTGAAGCGATGGTGGGAGCGAGAGCGGTGATTTCCTTCGCGAGATGCTTCTTTTGCTCCATATTGAGCTTGGTCCAAAGGTCCGTCGCGAGGGTGCGACCAGGGAGATGGGTTTGAATCATATATGGCCGTTCGAAGATATTCGCAGTGGTAAGATCATAGCTCGCAACCTTGGGGATGGGTAAAGGCAGCCGAGAGCCCACGGTCTTCAAGATTGACACCTCCCTTTCCATATCTTCGGCCATATCTTTGGCACCATCCTCATCCTCGTAACGCGTCCGCGGGACACGCACAACGTACGACTTTGATTGTGCAGCTTTCTTCTTCTTGCGCGCGCTCAAACAGGGGAACAGGAACCAGGCCAAAGTAAACTTCTTGGCCTTTTGTGCAATGGAGACGCCGATGACTCGGTTGAAAGAGCCACCCTTCATCTCATGAACAGTGATGTCTCGCGGGCTTCGCCGGAATATTTTCGCGGCTAGTGCGGCGACTTTGTGCTGAATCGTCTCGAACGGTTCCTGTCCGTAAATCACCGTGTTTGTTTCTGAGACTGCATCATTTTCTGACTCATGATCCTGCTCATCAATAATGTCTACCGATTTGTCTTGGTGTTGCATGCAAGTGTCCTCGGCGCGGGCGTTGACACGGTCTGGCGCATCCGAAATGAGTGTCGGCGGAGCCGCCGGGTTCGGGGAGCAAGTCGACATGATGCGACTTCTGAATACGGAGGAGCGTTGCAGTGTAGGCGGAAGGATCTTTAAAAGGCGTCAGGGCGCATTGTTGTACCGTAGCTCTTTGTTTGCTGAATGCCAAGCCTTGTCGGTGCACAGGGTCGTTTCCTTCTGAACCATCACTGCAGGAGCGGTGTGAATGCTCAATGTGATTCATCATATCCAAGTCAAGTTCCGTATTGTCGCAGTGGGTTCCGTGGGGTGTTCGTATATAATGCTCCCTGTGCTGCGCGACAATCGTAAGTGACCCGACAGTAACACAACCCCCAATCAACCACGAACTACGTTAGAATAACCCCGTAACACTATCATAATGCCCGGAATGCCCAGAGTCGGAGACACAGGTCGGCCCTGTACAAAGAATACCAAGGGAACTTTACATCACTGTCCTGGTTTAAACGGCTGGGTCGGCGAATGGAGTCCTGGTGGCTGCGATATCGGTAAACACGGCCCCCCAGGGCTAGCGTTCCACTACTGCAAAAAACACCAAATGCCGTGTCGTCAGGGCTGCTTCAAAAAAGCTCATATGAAGAACCAGGATGGCTGCCGATCATGCGAGTTCAATTGGGGGCGTGAAGCTAAGGTGGAAAGGGAAGCAAAGGAAAATCAGAAAGCGATCGAGAAGAGTAAAGAAGAAGAAGCTTTCTTCAATCCAGGTAAAGGAAGGAAGAAGGATAGGAAATAAACGATCAAAGCCGATACAAAGCCGATATCTATCATTCGGAAAGAGTAGATGGATGGATGAACAGTTCACGGTTTGTGGTGTCTCGAGTAGGTTTGGTCTTGCGGAGGAGCTCGCTCTTTTACAAGCTGCACCTTACACAGACAGGACCTAGAGGCGTACCTCGTCTTGCGGTACAGACAGAACGTTAATGTGTCGGATATGGCGTATGCAAAATGGGATTCTTCGCAATCTGTTCCCTGTTCTGTGATTGATGGCGTGATGTGACCCACACTTTCCGGTTCGATTGTGAAGTAGGAAACTCTTTATCCACTGAGAACTGCTTCATGACACATGTTGCAGGAGCGCGCGAGTTTACATAGGCCCGCGTCATCTAGGAAGCCCCCAGATGGTGGAGATCGAGAAGCAAGATGTGGATAGTCGCCTTTCTCCTGTTCTGGTTTGTATCCGAGACCATCGAAAACGATCCTAATCTGTGAGCAAGCGACCTCTTTAGTGTCACATCAGGAAACCCTCGAATATCCTGACGACGTAACCGTACCTCATGCGATTATCCGATAATCACTCGAACGTGCTGATATGATTGCGCAGCTGCTTTTCGATGGCCGAGGGCTGCGAGGACCGTTCGCGCGGTGCGCCGGCACAGCGCGTCTCACGCGTGGGCTACAACGCGTGTCGCATTGCGCGCGCTCGCAGATGCTGTCAGGAGCGAGCAAATGAAAAACGTGCACGTCAACTGTAAGATGGGACTGGTGGTTCCTTACGCGTGCGCAATATTTGGTGAAGAGGGATGATATGGTGAGGTCTTTCCGAGGTTGACAGGATCGCGCACCTGCTCAGGTGTCAAGGCCCGCTTGAGCGTGTCATCACGTGGCTGCCACCCTGATCCATAGATCGATTGAACAACGACACATGCTCGTGAGGTCGCATTTTGCGCGAGGCTTTATAGCTTTTCTACAATTGTGGAATTGTAACACGAGATCATGATCAAATTGGATGATGTGATCTGCGTATAATGTGTGCACGACTGTGTTGGCCCTTTGTTGGTGTCCGCGCAGTCTAATCGCTCCTCCCAACCACGCGTTAGCCCCGCTACCAGACATCAACCAATCACGTCGACGTCTGTGCAGACCAATCACATACGTCATCGACGTTCAGAATAGTATCAGCGCAGAGACGCGTCGCGACAATGGTCACTACACGTTCTGCATCCCTCAATTCTGGTCCCGGTAGACCCCGTCGCTCTGTTCCTCGCTCTCAAGTTTCGGCAAGAGCCCAACAAGTTCACAATCGTCGCGTACAACAGTCGCGTCGCTCCGTTCGTCAGTCTCAAGTTTCGGAAAGGGTCCAACAAATTCACAGGCTCCGCGCGCATCACGCACTTCACGCTGAGCGCCTCGGCAAACTGATCTGTACTGCTTCCAGATAGTGACAGTGAAGGTCCTCCAGGCCGTGATAGTTGGTAGAAGGCTTGGACAGGTGTGGACCAACACAGCTTCAAGGACCATGTCGCTGAAGCGAGGTGCCATTGACTCGTTCTTCAAGCGCCCTGAGCCCAAGAAGCCCAGATATGAAGCAAGTCTTCATAAGTCAAGCCATGCGTCTTATCCCTTCGCCATCCCACATCTGCCTGCCCCGTTCACGGAACAGTTAGGATTCGCACCTGCTGAGGAGGGCAAGCTCATGAACGACCAGCTGGATCTGGATCTTGTATACTATCAGCCATACGTACCTTCCGGTATTGCGCCAGGGCTTTTCGAGTTCCTTCGACAGGAACTTCCCTTCTACCGCGTGCAGTACAACATCACCCGCGGAGGAGCACAAACTCAGATCAACACGCCGCGGTTTACGACAGTATTTGGTGTTGATGACACATCGCGCTTTGCAGCTGATGGAAGCATCGTAGATGCAAAGACTGGAAAGCCGGTTGAGAAGAGTCGCTACAAGTGCGCACCTCGTCCTATCCCACAGTGTTTGGAGGAACTGAAGAAGGTGACAGAGGGCACCACTGGCGAGACCTTCAATTTTTGCCTTGTCAATTACTACGCCGATGGCAAGGACAGCATATCGTACCACTCCGACGATGAGAGGTTCCTCGGTCCTAATCCGGCAATCGCATCGTTCAGTCTCGGTGCAAAGCGCGACTTCTTGATGAAGCACAAGCCTATTCCACCCAAGGCAGGCGTTGTGATTGAGGAGCCAAAGGGCATCAAGCTGCCTCTCGGCTCGGGAGATATGGTCTTGATGCGTGGCAAGACGCAGGCGAACTGGCTACATAGTATTCCAAAGCGCGCCGGCCCTGAGGCAGGCAAGGGAAGGATCAATATCACTTTCAGGAAGGCGATGATCAAGGGCGGTACTGAGAACTACTACCAGTATAACGTTGGCACGGGAGGCGTGCATAGATGGGACGCGAAGGCCGAGAAGATGGTGCCTTGGGCGGCGGCTGCAGAGCCTCAAGCGTCTGCGAACGGCGATGGCAATAGCGCGGTGCCAAGTAACGGAGCCTGATGGATCAGACGATATGGCGAATTTGATGATAATGATGATTGCACGCCAACCTAGAAAAAAACTAAACAGCCTAGAGCCTACGTTGACGTTAGGTCACCTACTTTGCAAGGTTTTAGCTTAATGTTGCCTGCAGACCAGTTCGGTTTTTTCCTTGTATAAGGTGATTGCGAAGAAATCAATATTTGCGTTCGGACCTAGATGGTGTATTTCGTCAGATAGTTCTGTTTCTCTTCGAACAAAGTTTCGTTCGGAAAGTTTTTTCGCATCAAATTACCATATGCACAGTGATGTGTGATACAGAAAACTGTGAACAGGCCCCAGACTTGTCAAAAGCTTGTCGCTGGATGAAGTAGCGGGCCTGAGTTGCCGCCAGCGAGCAGGTGGCTTGAGCGTGGGCTAGTTCGACCCCGCCTGGGGCAAGCGCGACCACGAGCAATCTCGACATGTGGAAAGAGCAGTGTGCGATGAGAGGCCATACGGAGGCAGGATAGTGGTAGTTGTGGAAATGAGGTCGCCACTGAAGCGGCTGACCGAATCTGTACAGTCAGTCACATGGACATGCGTGATGGCGACATGATGAAGAGTCGCATGTCGCAGGACATCTTGGCGGCGACGGATGAGGGTGGTCGGAGTTAAAGGCCGCCTAATTCTGCCCATGGCCGTACCAGCCTTTGACTGCAACACCACAACACCCTCTTGCGACCTTCTTATCTTGTGGATTTCGAGTCGCCAAAGCTAGCGCATATCATCAACGGCCTAATTGAGGAGCCTGCACCATCAAAGGTCGCTATCGTGAGTCGGGCGCGTTAGACGGAAAGCTGGCGGTGCGTGCAAGCCTGTTTGAGAGTAAGTACGAATTGGCGCATGGCTCTGTGAATGTGCAGCTGCTGACAGAGGCTAGCAGGTGTCAACAAGCCTTCGATACACCGCTATATCACATTCCTCTCACCGCGAGGTCGACTGCCCATTGCATGAGCTGCACCTCCCCCTCATAAGAAGCGCTGCGTAAGCCGAATCTAGACGAACCACCCAACGACGAATCCCCTACGCATCGATTGAAGCGTACGTCTGCGCAATACAAGAGGCAGTATTGGGAAAAGAAGAACGGAAAGTGTGCCATATTGGACGACTTTCACTGGTGGGAAGGGCAGAAGCAAGTCGCATACAAGTCAACACCAGGGCAGTATCGCCATTTCAAGTCCACGCCTCAGAGTCATAGCACTTGGCGCATGGAGATAGCTCAGCTCCGGAAGATTTAATACCGCACCGGGCCGCAGTCGCAGAATCGCACACCTTACGACCTTTCGCTACACTCTCCTCTGCAAAGCGCATACTAGCGACCACCAACGTCTGCACGACACGAGTCTGGACCAGTCAACACCCTAGTTCCGCAGCTTAGGCGACCACCAAGGCGTGAGATTCCATCATATATCTCGAACGGACTTTAGCGCTTAAGTCCGCATTCTCCGTCGTCCCATATCACACCTGCGGACGACGCGATCGCGACCATGCCGCCCACTCCGCCTTCAACGACTTCGTCGAGCGCAGGACAGTCGCCGCCAGATCCGCAATTTAGAGTTGTACGTAAACGGAATCGAGTTCCCTTATCATGTGGAGCATGCAGGCATCGAAAGTAGGCACACATCTCGACAACGAAGCAATCATCGCCACATGCTGACCATCGTAGGCTGAAATGCAATCGAGGTCATCCCTGCGACAATTGCACCAAACGCGGAGATACGGCATCATGTACGTACGCTGCTCCAGGCAACCGCAAGAAGAG